AAACTGATTGGGCCAATAGCACGCAGAATAGAGCCAGGCAGGAAATCCAAGCAAAGATACAGGGAAAAAGAAGGCAGAGTCTGAGAGATGCCATCCAGCTTTGCAAGGAACAACATGCCAGAGCACCACCCCACAGGCCATGTGGTGATACACAGATTAATTGAAATGGTTTTATTTAAATGTAAAATCTAGCCAGTAATGAGCCTGGGCCATCATGCAAACAATTATAGTTAACATTAAGCCTCTCCGTGATTCTTTTATAAGCAGCTGTGGGACCAGGCAGGACAACAGAAAAGCTTATGGCTACACCTTTCCTCTATTTTTCTCTCCTTTCTAAAAAAACGGGGGGGGGGTTATAGGAACAATAGGATAAAAGGGTAGATTATTGAATCTACTTTTAAACTAAAAAACAACTACTGGCCTCAAATATTTTACATTGGTATGGATTTTTATATATTGGTACAAATTTAAGGTTATCTGTGTTACAACATACTATAAGGTACTGTACTGTACCTATGCACCTCATTTAAAATTGTAATGTAAAGTTCTAGTCCTTGAAAGCTACTATTACCATGGGATAATTAAGACAGCAATCAAGCTTGTAGTAAGGATTTAGATGTAGACAGAAATAAGCTTTCTTTAGCCTCCTGTATTTTAGATAGATGGACAGTCTTTAAAATGCTTCAGAGATTTACAGAATATGATATTTAAGATGTTTTAATAACATAAGGCTCTTCATGACAGTGAGAGATGTCTGCTCCTAGAAGCACCAATCTACTTCAAAAAGATAATGGGCATCGAAGAACCTCCATACGGAGTTTGCTTCAAATGTGGCAAAGCTAACTAGCCACTGCCCTTGCCTCAACTGCTGACAGTATGATGTCCAAGTTGGACAAGCAGGACAGACACAAAGAAGCCAACTGCCAAACTTTGCCAAGACAAGGTAGGCTAGTCCTTCATGACTTCTGCTTCAGCTGGGTGGTGGTGGCACACACCTTTAATCCTAGCACTTGGGAGGCAGAGGTGGGTAGATCTATGTGAGTTCAAGGCCAGACTGGTCTACAAGAGCTAGTTCCAGGATAGATTCCAAAGCAATACAGAGAAACCCTGTCTCGAAAAACAAAACAAAACAAAAATACACAAACAAACAAACAAAAAGATTCCTGCTTCACAGAAAAGCCTGTCAGATACTCTAGACCTGTAGGCCAAAGATGGATGCCCCAGCACATCGCAGAGGAAACTTGGGTGACTGTCCAGGCAGCCAGCTGTCTCTGTCACTTCTATAGTTTTAGAAGTTGCTTGTTCTTCCTATCCTGTTTACTCAGGTAATATATCCTTCTCGGGCCTCTGATGGGGTTGAAGATAACAGTTATAGGTGCAGTTTTCCTTGTTACCAAATTCAGCAAATAAAAAAGGACTGTACATTGTTAATGTTATTCTTAACTGATAATTGTTCTGATTGTATTGTTTTACTGTGTTAGAATAAAAAAAATCTTTCTTCTTTATTTAGACAAAAAGTAGGCGATATTGTGGGATATTTGATCAGACTGTAAACCCAGAGATTGTGTAAATTAACTAACAACCTGAGGTCAGGAGGTGGAGCCAGCGGCTGCTTGACAGGAGGTAGCTATAGTGGGTAAGGAGGGAGTCAGTAAGACAGATGGAGAAACACATAGGGAGCAGGAGGGAGGAACAGAGAGTTCAGTAGTTCCTTTTGGATTGGAGCAGAGGGGGAAAAAAAGGTCTCTCTTTTTTGAGACACTGGCTATGGAGGAAGGTGAACTAGCTAGCTCCTCAACCTCTCTGGCTAGCAGGTTTTCACCCCAGCCTCTGACTCCCAAGGCTTTATCAGTAAAACCATAAGGCATAAATTTATATAAAAACTCACACATTCATGGATGTGATCAAAGAGATCTGTACCTGGGGAGTTAGTTAGGCCCAGCTAGGTGTGATCACCCTTTGATGGGAAAATGGCTCTCTGGGGATCACAGTGAAGCAGGATGCCTAGATAGGTGACTGATTATCAGAGTTCCCTAAGGTGAAGCTGAAGTGGTGAGGAAGCTTGGCAAGCCTGGATCCCCAGTCCTTTTCGTGAGGAGAATGGAGGTCTCAAAGAAGTAGGGCATAGGCTGGGAAGAGCACATGAAGGAGGCTAGAAGAGGTCATTCTTGCTGGGCACCTGAAGTACCCAGGGCCTGTGCCATCATTCCCATCTGTGGGTTACTTGCCAAACTGAAAAACTGTGAAAGCCTTGAGACAAAGAACCCCCTTCCCGCCCCCACCACTGAAGCTATAGGCACAGGACCCAGTTTAGCAAGAAGTGCCATCTCAGGGTAGGGAGCATGGCCTGACAGGCCTGCCTTAGGCATGTGTGAATCCTTGGGCCCATCATATGCATGTACCTCATGCATATGTAGGCTGGTCTCACTCAGGTGTGCCTTCTGGGCCCAGATTCCCACATGGGCATGCCGGAACAAGCTTAATCATGCTTATTCTAGATCCTCCTCACTCATGTACACCTGATGGGCTCCAATGCTGGGGCCACCTCACACTCATGCTTATGCTCATGCTCATGCTCATGCTCATGCTGCGACAATGTCAGGAATGCATGCTTACAGGGCCCACCTTGTTAGCATTCAGACACACCTGACCTGCCCCTTGGAGATGTGGCAGTGTGTCACCCCTACATGCATGTGCTTGCCGTTAGTCAAGCAGTACTCTGACCTGCTCGGGGTCCTGACAACACCTTCAGCTACATTGCTACAGCTATGCCCCCTTTAAAAGGTGGTACCCCACCTGCTTTCTCTCTCTTCTTCCTCTTCTTGTCTCTTGCCAGTCTCTCTCTAGCTCTCTACCTTCCTCTGTACCTGTCTCTCCTCTCTCTTTCTGCCTGTCTCTCTTTATCTCTTCCTCCCTCCCTCCCTCCATGTCCCCCCTCTCCCCCTCAGTCTGTCTTCCAATGAGGCTGCTCTGCACTCTCTTTCTCTCTCCCCTCTCTCCCTCCTCCCCCAATAAGACTCTCCAGGTGAGCACTGTCTGCATGGTGTGTCTGTCTCTTACCCACTGTGGGGCCCCTTGGCTACAACTCGCCAAGGTCCCTCTCAAGCTGCATCACAGCACACCTCACCCAGAAGCTCCTCATGATTGCTCTGTTGAACTTTTCCAGGCAATCAGAAGTGTACAGCCAGCCAGGCAGGTGGAGCTTAACTAGGTATGATTGTTCAGCCCAAGGGAAGGAAGGATGCTCTGAGGGAACTATGCTGATACTAGATCACCTATATGGGTAACTGTAGGTAGGTAGGTATCCCTGTGATAGGCTATAATGGTGTGGATGTCCAGTCAACCAGGACCCGAAGCTTATTGGGGTATGTAAAACAGCCAGGGACCAGACTGGGAATGGTAGATGATAGAGGTCAGAGACAATTTCTCCTGCTGTCCACCTCAATTCTCACTATCAGGCATGGGGCCCAGGGACAGCCACGTTCTCCTAATCCTCAGTTACCTTCCAGGCCAAGGAACTGTGAAAGTATTGTGACCAAGTACCTGGTAGGCCTCAGTAAACATGAGGACATAGCCCTCAGAAAAATTGCCCACCTAAAGGGCTCTTGGCCTTAGAGAGGGAATCTGCCTAATGCAAGAATGAATCCATGCCACATCATACAGGCACTGTGCAGGCCCAGATGGGGCAGAATTGCACAATCACAGCAGCTGGGACCACTGTTGGAATAGACTAATCTTGGTGTCTCATAAAGAAACAGATGAGGAAACTGAAAGTAACTTGGCAAGCAATTTCTTTTTGTAAAATACGAAAAGGTGCGGCAGGCCGGAGAGTAGCAGAACACACAGCCTACATGGCTTCTTTTATTCCTCACACAGGGAGGATCTTGGCTGCTACTAATTACCTGAGGTGTTCAGCTTTCCAGTCTGGTCCTAACTGAGAAAAGCGAAAGAAAAAAAAAAAAAAGGAAGAACAGAGGGGAATGTAGAATTAACAAGGATTGGGTGCTTAAGCATTTCACGGCTCCCAGGAAGCTTGCCTAAAAGCATGCTTCTCTAACCAAGGAATAACAAACAAAATGTACTCTGTGGAAGGAAGGGTCAGGAGGAAGCAGATACAGAGCCATTAAATATGAATGTTAGAAGAGAAATGAGTAAAGCTCTCATACCACACATGCAGGCATGATGAATCAGTCAAGTAACTACAGGGCCCCCCATGTTCATATACAAATGACAGGTCTGTCTCAAACACTTTTGCCTGCTTTGCTGTGGGAGTTTCTGGAAAACCGAGTCACCAAGCCATATTCAGTTGGGGAGAGGAAAATTTATTTCTCCGGTGGACAGCACCCCAGGATCATTCCCTAATGGCATTGACCCTTGGCCTCAGTCAGGTTCAGAGAAACTATCTCAGTCCTGAGGACTTCATTGTTTTTAACATATGTGGCAGCTGGGCGGAGGAGGGGGGGTCCACAAGAGCTTCACCCGTGTGCTATTTGGAGTTTTTTCTCTTGACTTCCTGTTTGCAGTTTGAGATGGGAGCTCTCATCTCCAGCTTCCAGGTGCAGTTGCCATGTCTACTACCTGCTTTCCCTGCCATTATGGATTCTAACCCTCTGGAACCATAAGCCCTGAATAAACTCTTTTCTGTTGTTGCCTTGGTTATGGCATTGTATCACAGCAATAGAAACCCTAACTAAGATAGCCTGATACGAGACCTGAAGGGTCTGCCCCATGCATGGGTGCTATTTCAACAAACCTAAGTGTATACTCAGGAAGGTGACCTTTAACTGGACAAGACCACCATCACTCTAAAAGTAGAAATATTTGAGGGCACCCCGTTGGATCAGGGTGGTGAAGGTGTGTGACTGCCTGTTAAGGGACTCCATGGTGTGGCTCCAGCAGTGCCAATCAGAGATTGTTGTTAACCACAGCCCTTGGGGAGGAGAGTGTGTACCGAGAGACGTGCCTGAGGGCTATCCATCAGGCATGCATTCATACATGGATAGGCCACCACACTCATTTGTTCATGTGGGGTCTGACTCACATGTGAGCATGTCCTTCGAGCAAAAATAAAGGGGAGGGGAGCATGCACATTGGAAAGGCTGTGACTGCTCTCTGAAGGGAAGGAAGCTCTCAATGGTGTGGTGGGTTACGGTCACCCAGGTGAGTAAGTGGGTGAAAGGGCATCCTCTGGTAAGGTAAATTAGGAAGAGTAATGCTTGAACCACAGCCCTTGGGGGAGGATGGTGGGGACAACAAGGAGGGATTCCCAAGAGTGCCTGTGATATAATGTGCCTGAGTGTGGCTTTAGTGTGGGACTGGACTCGGCACCTCTGGAGGGTTAGAGAAGAGGTTTGAGAAACAAATAGGGAGCCTGGGATGTCTGAGCTTCACAGTGTGGTAGACGAGAGACTCATGATATGCAACATCTGCCCCCTGTGTACTATTCAAGGCCAGACTGAACATCTGAGACCTCTGAGATATAGCCACGGGCCATGGTGCTCCTCAGGAGCGTCGCTAGGGGATAAAAGTACAGTGGACCGCTTACACATGCACAACTGCTGTGCCTAAGTGTCCATGCCTCACAGACGGATACTGCCCAGCCCTCGAGTATCACCTGAGCTGTCTTTGCAGATGCGTGTATTATTGCCTCACGCAAGCAACCCATTGGACCCACTGGCCTCTGTCACACAGGTGTTCACTCCTTCCTGTTCCAGACAATCAGAGATAGCCACATAGGAAGATGGGCATAACCGGCTGTGGTCGTGGCCCAATGAAAAGAAGCCATGGGCCTTCCCTCAACAGGAAGGCAAATGTGACTGGGCAAGGGCTGTTGGGCCCCTTGACGCATGCGCACAGTGTTGGTACCCCTGCGCATGCGCAAGTGTTATTATGTCAGCCAATCAGAGAGCCTTATGTTGGGAGGCGGGGCCAAGCTCCTCGTGGTCAGCCTCTGAGAGGAAGGAGGCTTTCTGGCGGTGGCGGAGGCGGAGGCGGAGGCGGAGGCTCGTAGGTGCGTGACCGCGTTCTTTGTTTCCCTGTTTTGGGGACTTTCGGGGAGGTGTGGGGCTCCGGGGGTGGTTTAGAGGCATCAGGAAAGAAGAAAGCTGTGGGATTACACAGCGAGACCATCCAGGCAGGCAGGTGAGGTGACTTTGGGAACCTCACTTCCATTTCGGGCCGGGCCGGAAGAGGCACCTCAGCCAAGAATGAAAAAAAGAGTGATGAGGGGAGCAGGGCCTTAGAACAGTGGGGCGGGACAGGGGGTGCAGTCTTTCCACATCTCCAAGTTGGTGGGTTTTTTTTTTGTTTTTTTTTTTTTTTTTTTTCCTTTTGGTCCCTG